CTCGTAATCTGGTGAACCGGGTTCGCTTCCCCGCTCCTCCACATGCAGCTGCTGGGTGACCTTGGGCCAGTCACACTTCTTTGAAGTCTCTCAGCCCCACTCACCTCACAGAGTGTTTGTTGTGGGGGAGGAAGGGAAAGGAGATTGTTAGCTGCTTTGAGACTCCTGAAGGGGAGTGAAAGGTGGGATTTCAAGTCCAAACTCTTCTTCAGCTGCTGGAAAAATAAATACTGTACATAGCAAGTGAATGATAGCTTATAGCAGTGCTGGGGAACCTTTTTTCAAGCAGAAGGCCACATTCCCTTCCAAGGCTGCATGCCGATGGTGGATGGAGCAGAGACAAAAATGGGTGGAGCAGTAAATGTAAATATTACCTTTGTATAGTAGACTAGTTTTTACACACACACACACACACACACACACACACACACCCTCACTCTATTCTTTGAGGCAAGCAGAAGTTGTTTTCAGGGTTCAATGACACATTCTAGCCAGACAAAAAGAAGGAAGGAAGAAGATGTGAAGTCAGGCCATTGGTGGATGTGACCTAGAGAAAGTCCTGGGGGCCAGAGAGAGCCCCGGGAGGCCACATTTGTGCCCCCCCTCCAGGCCTGAAGTTCTCTACTCCCGGCTTATAGGTTTGTAGTGTCTGAAATCTTGAATATATGTTTAGTCTTTCTTCAAGAGAATAAGCTGTCAGTAGGAATAAGGATTTACCCACAAAGGATAAGATCTCTCACTACAATATAAAACATGGACTTGGTATCTGGGCAGCAGTATTAGGTGCCTTGTAATCAGACATTGTGAATAAAGGGCTTATTGTACACAGAGGGATAAAGGCAGTATTTACATGCAAGTGGGAATGGAACGGCTGAAAGAAAGTGTAAAGGTGGTACGAGGTTTCTAGAAAAACAGCTTTCAGGAAGAAAATTGCCCTTTTCCACTTCACTTACCGCCCCCTGCGCACAGAATCTGCAGCAATCTGAGTAGCACCTTGCACAGAGTCAGGGCTTGTGCTTGTGGGAGCACTGTTGCCATAATATACCAGTCTGCCTGGGGCTAGGGCCTTTGTATATACTCTTCTCTAAAGCTGAAATTCAGCACCAAGGATGATACATCATATGCCAAGAGAAGCTGGATTCTACTGGGTTTTAAACCTTGAAAATACACACAGGTCTATTGCCCACCCTTACCTCATAGAAAACAGGAGACTTGTTTGTTCTTACGCTATCCATTGGTGTGTGATATTTCTCCAGCCATTACCTGTTTTTGCAGTTATAAGCCCCAGAAACTTGCTTTTTCAGTGAAAGCTGACAGGTCCTCAGGATGCTGAACTGAGTGGACCACGCAATTAAGCAGAAGAGCAAAACATGAAAGTGAGCAAACAGCAGCAGCCGAAGCCTTTAAACACTTGGGTTTAGTACATTCCAGTAGAAATTATATGAAAAAATATAGAAGGTATTCTCTTTCGCACACACTTGTGTTAAAATGTGATGTGAGGAGTATTTAAGTTAACGGTTCACATTGAATATTGTTTATTTTGTTTCATAAACTTTATACACCTCTTAAATGTAAAAATCCTCAAAGCGGTTTATAAAAAGATAAATTTACTAACAATTAACAGCAAGAATATAAACAAATCAAAATATTAAAACCAGCAATAAACTACAAAAACAGATTAAAACACAAATTACCTATCCAGAGTTTTATTTCAAGGTCAGTGTTGTTGCAGATCTGGAAGGTGGTACTCGAGAAGGCTCAGCTTCGGCCCTAGAGCTGCCATGTTTAGTAAAAAAGAAAAAGGGGAAAAATCAATTGTCTCTTTTAAAAAAATCAATTGATTAATAGGACGGCATACTTTCAAGAAATGGTTTCGGTACAATTGACAAATGATTATCAAGTTGCTTTGTGGCTTTATTGTATAAAGGCCTGAGTGTGAATAATAATTATTATAAATTAATCTGGTTGTCTATAATAGCAGCAACTTCTCGCTGATGTTACTGGTGGTTCTGGCAGTCTTGCCCTTGGTAAAGAGCAGACCATTCCTGGAAGCACCCTTTGCCTCCAAATCCCACCAGCTCCAGGAGCAGATCAGTTGACCATGTCCAGGACAGGGGGCATTTCCTCCCAAGACAGCTGACTTGATGGTTGTTAGAGTCCTTTATATAGCAGCTTAAGAAGCTGGTACACAATTGTCTGAACACAGCCATTTTCCCCCCTGAGAGAGTTGTATTATTCATAAGCAGATCTGATTAAAACTCGTGATTAATCAAGTAACGCTTTTTACGTCGGCCTTGCAGAGTGCATCAGAGAATTTGCACTTTATGCTTTTCCTTCTTGAGAGTAATTGCAGCCTGTCTTCACACATCTGGGATTCCTTGCACATCTGGCATTCAGATTTTGCATTAAGCATCCAATCATTGCCTATTGCAAGTTCAGGTTCCCTTGAAGCTACCTTTACAACATCCTCCATTAGCTAGTGTGGTTAAAATACTTCTTAATTCTTTTAGCATTGCTTGCCTTAGCCGTATTATGGCAACTAAAGGGGAAAACATAAGCCTGTTCATCGGCCAGAGAATGTGTTGCAGGGAATTTCCTTATCCCCCCCCCCCACTCCACAAAGAACAAACACACTCCTTTAGCTGCCACTTGCCCTAGGACTGCTAAACCAAAGGGAGACATACTTTGGCTTCTGCCACCAGCCAAGGCACCCACAGTCACTCTGGAAGACTGCCCCCAAGTTGCATTCAATTAACATTTACTCAGAGTAGGCAGTGCCAGATTTACGTATAAGCTAAGCAAGCTATAGCTTAGGGCCCCATTCTCTTGGGGGCTCCCCCAAAAAATGAAAGGAAAAAAACCTGTTCATTTCCAAAATATAAGATAAAAAAGCAAATAAAACCTACATACAGCAACAGTGTTTTGTTTTGTGTTGTGCAGGTTCCTATTTTGTTATGTCCAAATGGCTTTAGATACCTATTAGGTCCATAAATTACCATATAGCATATATTCAACACAAAAAACAGCAACAATTTGTTGTTGACAGAGGACAGCTGGACATATAAAGGGCCCCATTACCTTCAGTAGCTAGGGCCTCATCAAACCTAAATCCAGCCCTGAGAGTAGGCCTATTGAAATCAATGTCCATATCTAACTTAAGGCCTGATAATTTCATTGGAGTGAATAAGCAGTTGCTCCAATACTTTCCTTCCTTTCCCTCGCCATCCTTTTTTCCATTTGTTATTTTATCTGTTAGATTATCTTTTACAGACCATCCCTGTCTTAGAAAATGTTAGGTTCTTTGTGCGTTAACAACAACAACAGCAACAACAACAACAACAACAACAGGCTTTCAGACTAATACTGGTTTCTTATCAAGTATCTAGCCTTATTTCTTCTTTAACTAGCCCTGGCTAGACTGTCCAAAACACAGTAAAGCGTCGCTGAATGATGAATGATTAAACAGGAATCTATATTTAGATTTGGATTCTCAAAGCTCAGGAGGTCATGTCATCAGTTTGACTTTTCCCACGCAAACGTTTCAGGCAAGCATTATGTACGGACTAAGTTTCAGTAGCCAACATATGGTGCATTAGCAAAAGTCTTGCTTCTGCTGCTTCTGTGAATAGACTTTCCAGATAAATGCCATACATATTCTAAATACAGTATTACAAAAACTCATTAAATAGTATTGTCAATGGATGAAAGATCATTCTGCAGTGCACGGGCAAGGTTTTTCTTTAACTTGGTTCCTATCGCTTCTTCTTTTGTAGCAGTTAGCAATATATGTGTGTCAGGGAGATGATGCAAATAGCCCTCTTGGAGGTCAGAGGTGTGGGTGCACATTCAGACATATCTAAGAATACTTATAATGGAAAACTGCAGAGTATTGAAATTAGAGTTGAAAGTGAATTATTCTCCCAGCTATTTGTGCTGATCCGGTGAAGCACAGCCAAAACTGCTATCTACATTGTAGTTCTAATTTCCCAGTTGTGGTGACCACCCTAGATTTATTAATATCTATTTAAATGAGGTGAAAATAGTCCAAGCAAAGTCTGTGGAGTATCCATTTTAAGTAGAATTGCCAAACATTTAGGAGGATATTGTTTCAAATTATTTTTATGCTCCATTTTTGTCTTCAGTGTTATACTCCCTTTTTTTTTTTACATAAGTATATTAAATGCCGAGGAGTGGTGAAGTATACATAGAGAAGCGGAGAACTATCATCTTAATTGTAATTTGAAATACTAATCCTGTGTGCTATGTATAGTCCCGATTTTGAGTAGTATATGTGTAAGGATTCATAGAATCTTATGAAACAAACAAACAAACAAAACCTATTTCTTAATCCAGGAACATATGGTGAATATAATAGTCTGAAAAGCTGGTTTGGGGCGAGCATCATTTACCTTCTCTTCTTTCTGCCTTCAGCTTTCTTTTGCGCCATGTTCCATTCAGTCTCTGGAGGGAACTGTGATTTAAAATAGAAGCAGTAAAATACACTTGAAAGGTGTTTGTAGGACTAATTCCAGAAGTGTGAATTATATTTAAGTAGCCAGAAGTGCAATGACTAAAGTGCTGGACTGAGGCCAGGGGACCAAGGTTCATATCTCCACTCTGCCATGAAGCTCACTGGATGACCTTCGGCCAGTCTCTCTCTCTCAGTCTGGCCTACCTCATAGGGTTGTTGTTACAGTAAAGTTGAATGTGAGGCAGGAGAAACATGTATGCTTCCTTGTATACTTGGTATACAAAGTATACATGTAGCTAATAATAATAAAAATCAATTACTTTCTATTTGAGTTCATCCTATTAACATTTTAGATGAACTTACCATCAATAAATTGAGGAGAATTGTGTGTAGAAGCATTTTCATGTGTAACCTTCATGTTGAGGTTCAGATTTCAGAAATTTAAAATACTGCCATCTACTAAAATTGGGTATGATAGGTAGATATTTTTGTATTTATCTGGAACATGCTAATATTTCTCTTTTTGTAGGGATGCCTCATTTGGGAACAGTACATATAATCTAACTATTCTGGATTGTCTACAAGGAATAAAAAAGGTAACGTCACAAAATGCATTTGAAAGAGAAAGCATATCCTTAGGCACATGCAGGTAAAAAGGTAAAAGGTAAAGGACCCCTGGATGGTTAAGTCCAGTCAAAGGTGACTATGGGGTGTCGTGCTCATTTTGCTTCAGGCCGAGGGAGCTGGCATTTGTCCACAGACAGCTTTCCGGGTCATGTGACCAGCATTACTAAGCAGCTTCTGGCTCAATGGAACACCGTGACGGAAAACAGAGCGCATGGAAACACCGTTTACCTTCCCGCCACCGTTTTATCTATTTATCTACTTGCACTGGTGTGCTTTCAAACAGCTAGACAGGTGCACTACTCAGTTTTAGCAGATTTTTTTGTAGTGACCTATAGTGGATGCCCTCATTGGACAAAGCGACAAAACTGCTATATCAGCTAGCCCTGCTATATTATCAGCTGCTATATTAACCCACCCTGACATTAGATGTGGCATTCATACACGTGACTGTGTAGCAGCACCTGTGTCTCAGGTTTTTGCTTCCTTCCTCCCTTCCCTCCCAGTAACTCCCCAGGAAGTCAGTTTCTGGAGGATGGGGCAGGTTATATCAGAACTGTTATCCTTTTTAGGTAAAATAACTGCCGCATCACAACCACCACTGCTCAGGATGGCATGAGTGGCAAGGCTTTATATACAGTGGTGGCTCCACAACTCCATTCAGCCGCAGTGCTCTATTGACTGGGAGTTAGGATTGCTCCCTGCATTTAAGCTTTTAATATATACCACACATTCAGCTGTCTGTCTGAGCTTAGGGCCCAGTGTTTTTGATTTTCGGAAGCCAGAATAAATTAACTAAAATGCATTTTCAGCTCATCCTGCTCTGTGCTTCTGATGTTATCCAACAGAAACCAACAGCTTTATCATTGCCTTTTTAAAAGTATAATGATAAATAATAATATCTGGTAATGCTGCTTCTCCACATCATTTAGATCTAAATAATGCTTTGTAAGCAGCTCTTGTATATTTACCATACCATACATACCCAATATGTGTCTGAGCACAATTCAAAGTGTTGGTGTTGACCTTTAAAGCCCTAAACGGCCTTGGCCCAGTATACCTGAAGGAGTGTCTCCACCCCCATCGTTCAGCCCAGACACTGAGGTCCAGCACCAAGGGCCTTCTGGCGGTTCCCTCACTGCGAGAAGTGAGGTTACAGGGAACCAGGCAGAGGGCCTTCTCGGTAGTGGCACCCGCCCTGTGGAACGCCCTCCCATAAGATGTCAAGGAAATAAACAACTATCTGACTTTTAGAATACATCTGAAAGCAACCGGGTTTAGGGAAGTTTTTTATGACTGATGTTTTAATGTATTTTTAATCTTTTGTTGGAAGCTGCCCAGAGTGGCTGAGGAAACCTAGCCAGATGGGTGGGGTAGAAATAATAAATTATTATTATTATTATTATTATTATTATTATTATTATTATGATCATACTGAACTATTTGATTTGTGTTTGTTCTTTTGAAAATAAATTGCTAGATATTTAATTTGTGTGCAGTGGTACCGTGGTTTACGGACTTAATACGTTCCGGAAGTCCGTTCTTAAACCGAAACTGTTCTTAAACTGAGGTGTGCTTTCCCTAATGAGGCTTCCCGCAGCCAGTGCCCTTCCACCATTCTTAGACCGAGGTAAAGTTCGCAAACCAGGACACTACTTCCAGTTTTGCGGAGTTTGTAAATCAAATAGATAATTAACAGGACTGTCTTAAACCGAGGTACCACTGTATTAGTATCAGGAACAGAATGTTTTTAACAATACTATCTACAGTTCGTGTAGATTAATTCCAGATCGTTTGGATAGGATGGTATGTCTTACAACCAGAAAGTATATTGCACTTCAACAAAATTGGGAACATGGAGACAATAGATTATTCCGATTAGTGTCCTTAGAGATGCATCAAATGCGTAGACACATATTTTCATTTCTTGCTTTACTATTTGAACCCCAGAGATAAATCTGTTTAACCTAATTGGTATAGTTTAAAGGTTCAGTAGCTAAGGCAAGTAATAGAGGAGACAAGGGAGACTCCTAAAAAAACCCAATAAAAAATCCTATGAAAACTGCCTTCCTTTTGTCCCATATATTTGACCAGCTTGGTGCTCATTCAGATTTAAATGGTTCAAAATGTCCTTTGGGTGGTTGCCTGTGAACTTGACTTTTTTTTGCTTTCTAGGCCTTACAGCATGGATTTATTGACTTCAAGACATTTGATGCAGATGAGTATGAGCATTATGAGGTTTGTGCGTCTCCTGAACTGAATAGTTTGCCTGAGTTTCAGCATGCACTTATTAAGCACACCTAGTTCTGCTTTGTGGCGAAGCTTGGGTTTTTCCTAAATTGTAGGTGCCGCATAATTGGTGCATTGCTGCTTTCTTTCCCAATTACCTTCCAGTTATTGATGCATTTCTTTCTCAGTAAAAGAGCAAATACAAAGAAGTGAAAGGCTGCTGAGTGCCATGGCATGATCCACCTATAATTTGATTAGAGCAGGGGTCAGCAACCTTTTTCACCCGTGGGCTGGTCCACCATCCCTCAGACCACGTGGTGGGCCAGACTATATTTGGGTGGATGGGATGAACTAATTCCTGTGCCCCACAAATAACCCAGAGATGCATTTTAAATAACGGCACACATTCTACTCATGTAAAAACACCAGGCAGGCCCCACAAATAACCCAGAGATGCATTTTAAATAAAAGGACACATTCTACTCATGTAAAAACACGCTGATTCCCGGACGTCCGCGGTCCAGATTTAGAAGACGATTGGGCCGCATCCAGCCCTGGGGCCTTAGGTTGCCTACCCCTAGATTAGAGGATCTGTATTGCATGTTACTGTGCAAATGCCATCCTTTAAAAAAACGAGTTCTCAATATAAGAGAAGTGAGGGGTGGGGGACTCCTTCTCCACTCAGTTTCTCTTGTTCACTTAGTCCGAAGAGGTAAATGTATTCTTAGGGTAGTTGACCAGTGTTAAATGCTACTTATGACTACCTGGTTCTTAGCTTGTGGAGTTGTGAGTAATGGCTATTGCACGCCTCAAGTTTACTGCTGCGTCATTTTACTGGGCAAGTAATGTCACTTCTATTTGCCTTGCACAGTATTTTATGTGTTCTAAGTCTGAAACATTGTTGTTTGAAGAACGTACTTGAGAATGTGTATTTAGAACATGTCTGGTCAAGTTTTTCCAACAGGAAGAGTAGGTAGGTGGATTAACCAATGGTTGCATTGTGAAATGCTTGCACTACTTGCTAAATATTAACTTTGGGGTTAAGTTTTTTTTAAAAAAAACCTGATGCTTCCAGAAGCAGCACCTCTTGTCCTTAAAAAAAAAAAAAAAGAATTTTGAACCTTTTCTATATAATCTTTTTCATTTAAAATTTGCTGCCTTCTTTTCATCTCAATACAAATTGTTAAGAATGACAGTGTCACTTATTTTTAATGCTTACAGAGATTTAGCTTCACGCTGTATCTAAGCAAACACACTGGCCAGGATCTAAAGAATTAATAATAATAATTATAAAATGTGTGTGCTGCTCTTCAGCCGAAGATCTCAGGGCGGTTAGCAACAGAAAAATAAAAAATGAGAATACAAAAATGCATAATAAAACAAAAACAAAAGAGCTGCTTAAGGCCTTACAAGAGGGGGCTTGGACACACCTAGCTGAGTTCTGGAATTCTTTTTAATCTCTCATTCCCTATCACATCCTCTCTTTCAAAAATAAATTGCTATTCAGCATAGGTGCTTGCAGTTGCTAGAAAAGCAAGTCTTAAAGCCACAGTGGGCTCATGAACCTAGTTCCACAAGCAGTTCCTTGGATCCTGGACCCTGTTATTCACTTCCCTTAAATCTGCCGTCTGCACCCAATTAAATATGCCTAGGCCTATTGATGACCTTGGAATTCTGTTTGTGTGTATGTAAAATAGAGGAGTGTTTTACAAAATACACAGCAGTGAACTACCACAGCCAACCCTGTCTCTGTTGCAAGTATACCTGTAAAATTAAGATTTTATTAAGTGTGCACTTTAAAAAGGAACATGAAGTGGCTTTCATACATTATTGTGGTACTCTCAACATCTAGGTTTAAAATGGAAGCTATTGGGGATGGACGGTACCCAACTTGGTTGTTCCATTTGTATCCTACCTGATGACTTCAGCTGACACACACCCCTGCTTCATCTCTGCTTCACACTTGGCATAATAAGAGGCTGGAGCATGAAAGTGATAGTTGGCAAGAAGCTTGTATTTACCACATTAAAAAAACAAAACAAAGCTAATTGGCCTTAATTTGTCTTCCTTTAAAGATTAGTTTTGAAAGTCTTAATCATGTCACAGACTTCAATTGCCGCTCTTAACTGGAGGAAAAGAGATTGAGACACTTCTTTGGTTCCTGGAAGAAGTGCTTTGGGTAAAATTTGAGCAAACTGACAAATCTTTCCAAGTAGATATTGCAAGCAGGTAAACTGTACAATGTCAATACAGCTCTCTCTTATGAGCAGACAACAAATGAATTTCCAAAAGCTTTGCAGAAGAGGATGTTGTTCAAAAACTATTGTGAAGATAAATATTTTTCTAAGTCTCTGCTTTTGTTTTCACTAGCGAGTTGAAAATGGCGACTTCAACTGGATCGTCCCGGGAAAATTTTTGGCATTTAGTGGACCACATCCAAAGACCAAGATAGAAAATGGTATCTGTTTTTCCCTGTCTTTTTTTTTTTTTTTTTTGTAGAATTGTGTGTATTTTGCATGACTAGTAAATTGACTGGGATCTATTGATCCACATGTGTGAAAAGTAGATATTGAGACCTTGCTGTATGCACAGGAACATTGTATGCACCCCTTTGGAGAACACCATGCTATTTGTGGAAACAATAGTTGTGTGGATGTGTTAAAAAGCTACAAGGGTGCTTCCAAATGGGTGTTTAATGTAAGCTCATGTGCGCAAGCTTTTTACAGCATCTACATGCTGCCATTAGCATCAGTATTGACCCTCCTTATTTAACCTTTTCTGTGGAAGATCAAATACGTTTTTTAAAAACCCAACCTGTTGCCAGAGACCCATTTGTGCTATTGAGCTGTTGTCTGGAAGTACCCATAGAGGCCAAATGAACATTGTTTCATGTCTGCATTTTTAAAAAAAATATAATTATCTTTAGATGAAAATAGCTTATAAGTGGGGAAGACAATGAACCTTCCTTCTTTCATTCTTAAAACTGACAATTTGCATATGAACTACAAGTTTAATTAAAAACGACCTACAAAGCTAACATCTGGGGAGAAGACAGGCACCGCCTATGAGGACTATTAAACATAAGAGTTGAAAATGAAGGCAGGACGGTTGGAGGGACTAGCCCAGCATCTATAATACCTAGATAATGGTCTTAGATAGTTGTAAGGATTCCTAAGGTTATGTTTGAACATGCTACATAAAATATGAGTTTTTTATTGCCAATGAGGCAGATTCTGGGGCTTTCCTTCTCTGCCAGTGGAGTCCAGGCATACAGTATTGCAGACTGAGGACTTCATGAATACATACCCTATGATTCTAATCTAGAGTGAAACCTATACAGTGGCATTATTCCCTGTTTTAGATACTGTACTGGCTAAAATAATACTCCTTTTAGACCAATATGCTAGTTTTCTATTCTCCTGTTCAGAATGAATGTTTTATTCCTAAAAGCAAAAAAAAAAAAAAAGCAAAAATCCAAACTCAAGTGGTTGGGCACTCTTTTTTTGTTGTAAATCGTTTTCCTTTTGATGCCCTATTTAAGCACAGGGAACATCTTGCTATTAAGAATTGCCCTAGGATATTCTTGTATCTCAGACTCTTGTATCTAGCCTTAAATTTGTTCTGCTTTCTTTAAACGAGCCATAGCTCTTATCAGTTTGGTAGCTACTGAACTATAAAACATATCTTCAAAAGCTATATAAAAAGGAAACTGTGGGGGGCAGCATAGAAAGGAAGAGCATGCATATTTCAATGTGTTGCTGACTTGCTCAGTTAGCTGAGGGAAGAAATAGAAAATACATTAGTTGTTGTATCCCACACAGCTGTAAATGTTCTACTCTAATATACAGATACCTGGAGAGTTTTGTGTTAATGCTTGCTTTAATCAAGTCATTTTCATGGTTATGAGGAAGATGCAAGAATGCTGCATTCTGATCTACATCTAATTGAAGAAGGGGTTTTTCCACTCATTCTTCTACCCTGTTAGTTGTTCAGCTTCTTGCAATGTTAGCTAATATCATTAGTTTGTTCCTTGTTCACATGTCACTGTTACAGGCTTAGCAATACTGTGCAGGCTCCCAGGAATGAGCTTGCAGATGCTTTGCTCCCCCTTGCTATTTTCTACTTCATGAAGATAAGCCAAGGTTTGGCTTAGCATGACATCTGAGCAAAGACTTGTGGCTGTCTCCACACCAACCATGAGCTATAAACCAAGATTTGTTCATGGCTACACCTCATAGTAAGGAGAGAGTGCATAACACCCACATGCTAGGGCAACCTTGACTATGGCAACACAGCAGATTATATCTATATCTATATCTACGTACATCTATCTCCAAGGAAAGACCAAAGCAGTGAACATTTGCACGGTCTCACTAAGCTATATTTGGCTTAATGCGTTGTGCAAACTAAGGTTCCATGACTGAAAGTTTATTGACTACAATTTTAGGCCGCTCAACTTTGTATACTTTTCTTAGTAACGTTTGCTTTCTTTTTACAGTATGTTGATTACATTAGTAATGTTCGTTTTTAAACAAAAAGTGTTTAAAGTCTGGTGTTGTAGTTGTTGTCTGTGCCACTAGGAAGTTTTTGGAGGTCGTACACAAACAGCCAGGCATTCTCGCTCTTCCTGTTACAGGCTACCCTCTCCACGCACCGGAAGCCTATTTCCCATATTTCAGGAAACACAACATAACAACTGTCATAAGACTCAACAAGAAGATTTATGAGGCAAAGCGTTTCACAGATGGTGGGTTTGACCACTACGACCTGTTCTTCATAGACGGAAGCACGCCGAGTGACAGTATATTGCAACAGTTCTTGACCATCTCAGAGGAAGCAGAAGGTGCCATAGCTGTGCATTGTAAAGGTGAGTTCTTCAGAAAGGAAAAGCAGTTCAGTGGTGTTGTATTCTGGCACGAAGAGGAATAAATATTCAGGTTTGAAAATAGCATCCTCAGATCTTAATTTTAAAAATGCTGCGTTGGGTAAAATAGTCTAAATTATGAAAAGCTTCAACTGTGATTTTTGAGCAGAAATTTCATAATGGTTCCCGCTGTTTTTAATGCAGACCCTATTTTATTCCACTGAGTGATGCTGTTGCCTCTATTTTTAGTGAAGCGTGTCTTTTCAATATTTTTTAAAATTATCTTGTAGACATAGAAATTACTGTTCTTATGCTGTTGGGATAGCAGTGATCAATTTCGCCATTTGTCTATGGTGTGCTGTGCTCTGCTCAACTGAAACGATTTTTATTTGGAAAGCAGGGATGTAAAAGTATAGTGTTGCCCTTTCCTCTCTCTGTGCTTCTTTCTTATTAATAAGCTGAAAGCAGAGGGCAAGGTGCTTTTTGGGCTTTTGTTCTTTTTCTTTTAAAAAGCCAATCAGCTTCTGTTCTTGGGCCCACAACCATCCTAGAGATTCATTCTCCCTACTGTCTTCTGAAGGAAAAATATCAGTGTTTCTTTTGAACTGCAACAAACTTTTCCAGAACAAAACTACCGTATTTTTCGCCCTATAGGACACACTTTCCCCCCTCCAAAAATGAAGGGGAAATGTGTGTGCGTCCTATGGGGCGAATGCAGGCTTTCGCTGAAGCCTTGGAGAGCGAGAGGGGTTTGTGCGCACCACAGCAGTGGCAGCTAATGACGTGTGACAGAAACACTCCCATGTCCCGAAATCTTCACACCATGTAAATAAATGATCTTTCCCATTAAAAGGGAAGGGAGACCTTGACAAGGTAATGCCTTTTCGTGTGACGCCTCCGTGGCAAACATCACATATAGTTTCACTTTTTGCATACGCCTTCAGTTTGACTTGCGGAGCAAAGCAGCATACCTTTCGTTCAGTAGATTTGCCCAGAGCAGGAATAGAAAGGGCAGTGGAGGTTAAGACAGGAATTAGCAGGGCTCTGTGGGATCTAGCAGGATGTTTGTACTACGATGGCTTCCTGGTGTTTAAAATAGACATCAGTAATGTTCTTTTGTAAAACATTAGCACGTGGTACAAGGAAACAAGTTTTGTGAAATATCACACATTGAGAGGAATTCGTCGATATTCTTAAACGCCTGCAGTTCTGGTACCTAATATCAATTTTATGTCTCTTCCCCACCCCATATTCTCACTGCAGCTGGGCTAGGAAGAACAGGGACACTGATAGCCTGTTATATAATGAAGCACTATAGATTCACACATTCTGAAGCCATTGCCTGGATACGAATGTGCAGGCCAGGTTCTATTATTGGACCCCAGCAGCACTTCCTTGAAGAGTAAGTATGACACCTCTGTTAATCATATAATTTGCTGTTCCACCCCAGACACTTTCCCCTCTCTGTAGAGCTTAGCAAGTCTGCTGCATGAATGCCAGATTATTCAGTGGCTTTCTTAGAATTCTCTCGGCTGAAATTGCGATTACGATTCCTGCTCTGTACTCTAATTTATTGAAGCTCCGATTTATTGTGTTACGCAGAGTATGGTGGCTATTGTAGCTTCAGGGCATGGGATAAGAAGTTGTAAAGTACTTTAATCCTCCTGTGTGACTTTTTGGCTGAGCAGAGTGAGTCAGTCTTTTGTGTGCATTTGTAATGTGATATCTTTGTTGATAACCGCAGACAGCTCAGTCGGTAGAACATGAGACTCTTAATCTTCGGGTCATGGGTTCGAGTCCCGCATCGGGCAAAAGATTCATGCATTGCAGGGGGTTGGACTGCATGACCTTCATGGTCCCTTCCAACTCTACAATTCGTATGAATTGTATGAATTAAGGTACCAGGATGTACTTGCAATTCTGTCCTGAATGCACGTAACTTCTTTCAAGTGGAATACTGGCCCTTTTCTCCTTGAAGAGGGAGGAAAGATCTAAAATATATTTTCTGGATGCACTCAAGCCGTAGTACCCATAGAAAACAAGAAGTAGTAGGGCTACCCACTTCAGATGATAGATTGGCCATCTGAGTTGCCTTAAGGGATTTGTAGTTGTGATAGTGATGCATTTGGTAATGAAGTCGTAGTGGCGCTAAATATTGTAGCTGGTCAGGGAAATGTGTCAGCAAAATGCAAGGTTCTGATTCCATGCCACACATTCTCCATCGTTGTGTTTATCCCTCACACATACATGCCACGTTACTCATGAAACCCACACATGCTAAAACACACACACACACACACACTGCAATGCATCGCCCAAGGGTAAAGGTTAACACAGAGCTATATTTTTTTAAAATTGTATTTGTGTTTTAATGCTGCGTGCTGCATTTTGTTTTCCGAAGGGTAATCTACACATATTTTAAATAAATAGGTGCTACACAGTCTCTAACTCTAATTTGTATGTATATGGAATGTCCGCTTACCCTTCTCTGTGGTATCAGTGGCCATTGAGGTTGCATTTCTGGGGGTGGCTCAGTCACCAGAAGCCCCTCTCTCACTCACTCTAGCTTAAAGTTGAGAAACAATCTGAACTTGTCCTCTATGACGAGTCTCTTGCCCTGATGCCTCGTACATAAGGGGTGGGACTCACCTAACTAGCTCCATCAGCTGAACCCTGAACAACAACTTCTGCTTGTTCTGTGGGGCTCCCTCCCTCCCCATATGCTCCCTGAAATTGGATCTGTGGGGTTGAGAGAACTGCCATAACAGCACATGTAGGGAGGAGAAGGGGGTATCACTCCACTTGACAGCGCAGTTGGAAGATGTAATGGTGTTGCCTCCCGTTCCTAGTCTGTGTAACCTTGTTACAACGACTGATTAGCCGTGAGAGGACTTTTCAGCCCCACCTCCCATTTATGGAACCGTTGACAATTATCTTAGCCTTGTCTTGAATCTGCTTCACTTGACTCATGCATATATAGGCCCCCTACATTAGCTAGGCACTCATTTGCAAGATGCAGCTTAATGTGATGGTGGGGAACCCCAGGCCAAATGTGGCCATTCCTTGACCCTCTCAGTTTGGCCGTCTGGACTCTTCTCTTGCCCCTGGCACATTTGCCTGGCTGGAATGTGTCCTTGAACTGTGATCATTTCCCTTGCTTGCCCAGAAAGGAGGAAGGAGACTTTGGTAGTCTAGGTATATGTCAACCTCCAACTTTCACATGGCTGGAATGTAACCTGTTGTACAAAAGGAAAGAGTCACATCCATTGCTCTGCCCACCTTTACATCTGGCCCCGCATATCACTGGTATGTAGCCCCAGAGGTTTTTTAAAAAAGAAGTTTGCCCATGAGGGGATGAAGCAGCCCTCTGGCTGAGAAAAGTTCACCACCAGCATTTTTATGGCCATTTCCCCTGGGAATAAGTAACTATTTACCGCCCAACAGTAATTAAGCAGAATATGCTAGATATTCTTATGTGGTATCCAGTTATCTGACAGGATTAATCCCACCTCCGATTATTAATACCCTGCCCATCTCGCTGGGTTTCCCCAGCCACTCTGGGCGGCTTCCAACAGAAGATTAAAAACACGATAAAAGATCAAACATTAAAAACCTCCCTAAACAGGGCTGCCTTCAGATGTCTTCTAAAAGTCAGATTGTTCTTTATCTTCTTGACATCTGATGGGAGGGCATTCCACAGGGCGGGCGCCACTACCGAGAAGGCCCTCTGCCCGATTCCCTGTAACTTCACTTCTCGCAGGGAGAGAACCGCCAGAAGGCCCTTGGAGCTGGACTTCAGTGTCCAGTGGAGAGACTCCTTCAGGTATACTGTGCCGAGTGCTGTTTAGAGCTTTAAAGGTCAGCACCAACACTTTGAATTATGCTCGGAAATGTACTGGTTACTGAAAGGTGGCAGAGCTAGGAAAGCTGAGGGCATATTGATATTAGCAAGACAGAATGTAGGCGTTTTAACATCCGAGAATGAGCACATTGGCAAATCGCTGAGAAAGAGGTTTCAGAGTTTATCCTCTTTGCTAAAGGTCGCAAGTTTAAATGTCAGAGATGAACAAAAGTTGCTTTCTCACAAAGCGATGATTCACTGTTGGAATTTTGGCTCTTTTCAGGGAGGTTTTTTTATTAAAAAAAAAGTTCAGTTTTTAATGCTTTGACACAAATAACTATCTAGAACAAACATCATAAAACAACAGTGAACGATGCTCCTAATTCATACTGCCACTGTTTTGTAGTTTATAGAAAATAATGCTTTTGACACAGGGAGTTCTGTATTCCTGGCTGTTCCAAAAGGCACATATTCCCTAACTTTGGGATTTAAAAGGTTAAATGCATTGAGTCCCAGTTCTTTTTGTAGTGATAACTTTCTCACCTTTGCAGTCCCTGGATCCCTATGTGAGACAGAAGAATAGCACTCAAAAGCATTTGAAACCTGCTAGAACATATTTTAGTTTTCAGTAGGAAAGCCTGAACAATAATGTTCAGGTCCAGGTGAAGAACCCATGTTTCTCATTAGTGTCAAGAAAACTTCCTTGCATTCTTTTTTTCAATTGTGTCCTGTACATCTGAGAAGAACACAAAATCCTTTGCTTGCATGAAGCTCTGTGTTGATATCGAAGCTCATCAATGAACATGCAAATTGCTAGACTGGAGTCCTAACCTTCCCTGTAAGAACTGTGCTGTTTAGAGTGAAAAGGATGTCATTGCAGAAGCAGGGTGCAAAGGAACTTGAACTGTTCAGGGTCTCTGTTCTTTTAGATTGTGTTTTTCAGTTGCCCAAAATACTCCAAGCGTTACTTCTGGACAGTTAGCCTCCTAACAAATAAATGCTGGGAAATAATTGTAAACAGTTGTTCACATGCACTTTGCAATGTATGAATAAGATAATCTAAAGGAGAAACAAAAGCTTCCTCGATACTTAGGAGAAAGGATAACATATATTTCACCTCTTAATCTTTGTTCATATGTGACACAGATTCCCAGCATGTTATTTCAAGAGTTAATGGCTTTCATCATCAGCAGTATAATCTCAGATCACACTTAATTATACTGGATATCAACTTCCTCCCTCTAAGCAGAAATAACTCCCCCCACCCCATCTTTCTAATCCTGACCTATTCACCAGTTATGTAACCTCCCTGTGGGAGCTTTTCTCTGAGTCAAAGTATGTGGATAATGCTATTTCTTTTGGCTCACTTCCAGAGTTGTCACACTTCGTTCTACTAAGCAAAACTGCAGGGGGGGAAATTGCTTGTGGAGGAAATCAGTAAAATTTAGCATAACAAAGTTAAAAAAAAAACCAGCAACACCCAGCTACATTATTTTTCATAAGTGAAGGAAAAGGCAATGGTCACACAAAGTAACTACTTTTTTTAGATGCATCCTGTTTATATGTGCATCAATTGAACATATTTATATTTTCATCAGTTCATTTCATGAAAATATTTAAAAGCTTATTTAAAATGAACATTTAACGACACAATAAAATAAAATTTTCACAATTTTGTAATGCAGTATATTAGAATTGATTTTTTTTCCTGGTTATGATAAACTTTCCCAATCAAACGTCTGAAAAAGCAAGAACACCCAAAAGAGACTTCCAGATAAAATTATTTAAAATAAAGTTATGTATACTATAATGAATGATTTCCAATGCTACAGTATGTGTAACCAAGTTGAAAGTCCTATTTTACTGTACTCTACCCTGGGGCTACTCTGCAAAGAAGTCTTAAATATTTTTAGAAATTAATAGTTGTTTATACTGTGACTCTGACATGCATTTTGCTGGAACTAATTTTGCCCTTTTTTCACTGTTAAATAGAAAGCAGTCGATGTTATGGCTCCAAGGTGACCTCTTCCGATCCAGACAGAAACCAAGATTAGTAGATGAAGACAGCATGAGCAGAATTCTGTCTGGCTTCGATGACATTTCCATCAGTGGGACTTTGAATAAAATAGAAAGTAATTTGGATAAATATGTAGAGGTAAAATTTCACTGGAATTATCTCCTTAATATCCCAAGTAGAAAAGCTGCAATGGAGTAGTTTTTGAAATATAATAATGCTTGATATACGTCTTTTATCCATCTATCTCACTCTTGTGTGTTCAAAGCACTTCACAGGTTCTCAAATAACTTCATATATTTTACTCCTGTAAAAAGTGTTGAGTATTATTATTGCTATAGTACACCGGGGGAGGTGTGTGCAAGAAGACTGAGAGAGAGCATGTCTAAGACTAGTTCTTAGAATATTCTAAGTTCTTAGAATAGATGAACATCATCAGTGTACACTGACAATTAACTGTAAATCCCCAATTGACCTCTCCGGTGCCCTCATATTGAAATTAAATAGTGTGGGAGACAACGCAGTTTCCTGGGGACCCCATCAGCACAAGTGTCATGGGTCCAAGCAGTCTTCCCCCCCAAACTACTTCCTGGAGTAGGCCTCTTAGCTATTATGCTACCCCATGATATATATGCTAAGGATTGCAGCCAACAAAGTTCTACTCAGAGGAGGCTCATTGGGATTAACGGACCCAAGCTATTTCAACAGGTCTACTCTGAGTATGGCAAACATTAGATACTACCTTCAGTGCCCTCACATTATATCCTGGTCTGCTCACTGACAGTAAGTTCAAGTTTCCAGGCTCAGTCATAACTGGAATACAAGCCAAGATGTTCATTGTGAAGCCAGCGTGGAAGAGCACTTGGCCCCAGCTTGGGAACTACAACTTATGAAGCCAGGAACGATTGTCCAAATGTGTTTCAGTGTTAGCACATTGATTGGCATGCAGGTTAATTGCAAGCTAATGGGTCCCCCCTCCCAACAACGCAAGGTATGTTGGAATGGAGAGAAAGCAAAACACAGATTTGGCAACACTATGTCCAACCTTGGTTGTGTTAACTGATGTGACGGCACTACATTGTGCTTTTGGCTTTTGTCCATCTTAGAACCTGGAACAGGATAAATCCAAAGTTGCCCGAGGGCAGGTGTAGCTTTTATAATTTGAGCTAGAGCAGGCATAGGCAAACTCGGCCCTCCAGATATTTTTGGGACTACAACTCCCATGATCCCTAGCTAACAGGACCAGTGGTCAGGGATGATGGGAATTGTAGTCCCAAAACATCTGGAGAGCCGAGTTTGCCTGAGCTAGAATATCTCCTCTCAAACCACTGGTCATCAACTTTTAAATTCCAACCTGTTAGATAAGATGCACTCAGCTGCTTATGTGTGAAATATCTCTGTTGTGGACAGCACACCCTGGGAGGGCTTTGTGGGAAATGGCAACTTGAGCCCGTGGGTTATCTGTGTAGTTGATAATGGGCCCAAAACAATATGGCACAAGAAGGAAAGGTAAATTGCCTTCAAAGGGCTGGGCCCCAGGTAAAGTAAAACAAAAAAACACAATCCTGTTTTGAATCTCCTTAATTTTGTTGAACTGTACCTATTTTCCAGAATGAATTGGAAGACACTTCAGAGCAGGAAATAAAGAATGGCATGACACAGGGGGACAAACTTCGTGCCTTAAAACTTCGGAGGCAGCCACGTTCAGCTACAACAGGAACTCTTAGGTGACCCATTCACAGTTCTCATGTTCGGGGAGCTATCTAGATTAGCAGGTGGTATTCCACCAATACTTTAAAACACCTAATTTCACAGGTCTGGCACTAAAAGATTTGTTACTTTGGACAACGATGCCTATCTAGGCTTTGACAACAACTTTCCCAGGACGTGGGGCAAGAGGCTAGGGACAGCTCTTTGTCTAAAGATGTTAGTTTTAACGGGAAAAGAGGCTTAAAATATTTCATAGAAGTCAGATTCTGAGCTACCTGAAGAAATGTAACTTCGTGTATGAATGTGGTCCACCCACATTCTTACTCTGCAACATCTATCTAGGATTCAGGAAGAGGCGTCTAATCACCTGCTACCTGATCCTTGTCCATGAAAGGCTGTGTCTTCCTTCTGAATGTGGCTCTCTGTGCCTTAAGACTGTTGAAGGAGGCCCTGCTTTGGGTGGTCACTATCTGAGGGGTACAGCATGAGATTGAGGGCCTTCTTAGCACAGACACATGCCCTGTGGAGCTCCCTCCTCAGGGACATTGGACAAGATCCCAGTCTTCCTGAGCGTGGGTAAAATGTTTTTCCTTTCCTTTCCTTTTTGGGAATCAGTTTCCGGATTGAGAGAGAAATGTGGTGAACAGCCTGGTACTTTGTATATTCGTAAGCTCCTATTTCATCAATATGTAGTATTCTTGTTGGTTCTTTAATTAGATTGTTATACTGTATATATTTTAAGGATTTTAGGTTTGGCTGTATAGTGGGAATACTTTTGATTTAAAATGCCATTGATTTTCTAGGCTTGAGGATATGAAACTGCACTCCAGGTCCAGGTCCCAGCCTTTCAGGTACTTATTTCCATAGTTCACAGAGAAGCAATTTGGGATTATATTTCCACTGACTTTTTGGCAGACCTTGAAACGTCCTGTTTCCCCCTCACCCTCTCACTTAAAAGTGATTGTTTCTGTAAGTTGTGTGTGTTAGAGCCACTTCTTATATCACGATTCTTGTTCAGAGAACTGTTGTTGGAATTCACTCCCATTAACAGCCTTTTGCAGTGGGACATATTTTATACCTACTTCTCCTTGTGAGCCTGCTGTTGGGTATGTTAAATGTCGGGAATGTCACTTAGCCATTCTTGTGTCTGATTCACAAGTAAATATGTATATAAACCTTTCGTTCTCTTAAAATTATCCCGCACTGAAAGTGTCTGAGTATCATTCCAGCGAGCAAAATGTGTATTCAGAAAGCTGCCCTGACTCATCTGCTTAATGGCTTTAAATGCATTCTTCCACACAGATAAGTGTGGACTTCTGAATGTGAGTCTTTGCAGTGATGTGGTAATTGAAACCAAATCTCTAAAGCAGAGTTTGCTAATCTGTGGCCCTCCACTTATTACTGGAATACAATTCCCATTACAGTGGTACCTCGGGTTACATACACTTCAGGTTACAGACTCCGCTAACCCAGAAATATTACCTCAGGCTAAGAACTTTGCTTCAGGATGAGAACAGAAATCGTGCAGTGGCAGCACAGTGGCAGCAGGAGGCCCCATTAGCTAAAGTGGTTCTTCTGGTTAATGTGATGAATTTATATGTTTAATGTTGAATTGTACAGAAAGAAAGATGTTAAGTGATGAAGTTAATTTTATAAGAATATTGGTTTTGGAAAACCATTAAAATGATATATGATGAAATCCAATCAGGGGGATACAAGGAAGCCACTTAACAATGTTATTAAGTTTGGCTTAAATACGGTTGAGATTTATGTTTGTTTGTTTGTTTGTTTTGTCTGTTTGTCAAAAAAACTTTTTGGGAAAATCAATAAAAGGGGGGGGGGGAGAACAGTTTCAGGTTAAGAACAGACCTCCAGAACGAATTAAGTTCTTAACCCGAGGTACCACTGTATCCCTGATCCCTGACCATGCTGGCTGGGACTGGGAGTTGGGAATGCAGCAACATCTGGAATGCCAGAGGTTTCCCACCCCAGCTCTGAAGCCTGCTCTATACATTGTAATATATTCACTTGGGTGGCTCTTCATGAGTCAGATTATCTCTGTGAGCAGTTGCCCTTACAGTTGGATAACGGAAAAACCCAACATCCTGAAAATTAGGAATGGGGTTGATACATGCTACGTGAATTCTGTGTGTGCCCCTTCATCCAAAAAAGTTTATTTTTGTTTTATTTCTTTATAGAAATATTTTATACCCCCCCCCTTTTTTCAATTCAGCAAAAGCACTGGGGGAAATTACAATTTTGCATAAAAAATTGAAACAATAAAATAAACAGTGTTAAAAAAAATGTGAAAGCACAGCGGAAACTCAGGTGAATAACAGCAAGCGCCGCACAATTGAAACCTGGTGGCTAGGCAGCATCAAATGCCCACCAGAAAGGTACCTCTTTTTTCTGGCTCTGAAAAGAGCAAGAGCAAGCCAGACTTCTCTAGGAAGATAGTAGGTAAGAACCAGCAATCTGCCTAGGTTAACGTCTTGGCAGCTTCATTCTGTGACACTCGTCTGTAGTTTCCAAGCCACGTTAAAGGCAGCCTCATGGAGAGCTCATTACCACCCTTACCATTTTGATGTCATGGCTTGCCAGTCACACAAAGCTGGTGAAATTCATTTCTGGTCACTGTTGCCACCCGGACATCCAAAAATGCGCAGCATCTAAGAGTACATCCAGACTGGGGATCTGAGTCTTCAGGGCACAGCACTTTGCATGAATTGGTCCATATAACAGTCTTCAGTGTTTCCATCTCACCAGGCTAGTTTGTTTGTTTGCTGACCATCGCTAACCTCAGACGACTAGAGTGGTGTTTCCACTGCCTCCCTGGGATTTGATGCAACTCTGGGAGAAGATAATCTGCATCTTATCAATATACTGGGGTCACTATATCCCAAATCCCCAAATGACTTCCCCAGTGGTTTCAATCCTACCGATAGGTAGCCTAAGTATTAAGCTTGCGTTTCTCAAAATGTTAGTTTAAGCGAGATGCTTCTGTCTAAATGATTAAAACATACTTTTGTTCTTCTTCTTCTTCTTTCAGACTGAATACGGCATCTATCTCTCAGGGATCTGTATCTCCTTTGAAGTCCTCCAAAGTGGCCGCTGCTACATCACCTGCAGCGAAGAGAATAAGCAGAAGTTCTCATTCCTCCTCAAGCCCAAATTTTAAAAGGTATGCCTTACTCTGTTCTATCTGTTCCTTTGTGGGTGGGGAGATATAAAGAAAGGGCAATATCAAGTTTATTTTGGAGAGGGGTGGATCTCAGTTTCATAGATTTGCATCTTGGTCTTTGTGATTGGACTCCTGATTGTAGTAAATTAGTTTGATAGTCTGAACAAGTGGCCTTTAATACTAATGCAACTGTGGCTGTGATACTCAGAGGGCCCTGTATTAAAATATCCACATACAGGGGTTTCTGCAGAGTCGTCACCCCCCCCCCTGCCCAGAAGCACTTTTCAGCTGTTTATAGAACCAAGAAATAGATAAATGGCAAATGAGTCAGCTAGGAGCCTGGAAATTCCAAATACCCATGGTCATCTCTTACGCATGGCTTTGGGGGTGGTCTTCACTTACAATTCCAGGCCTTTTTGATGGTTGCTTCATCGTTTGCCTTACGGGAGAGAATGAAGCTGTGTATCGCCATCACTTAATTTTGTGGCAATGGTTCTTTTGTTGTTTCCTCCCCCTTAGTACCTTTTATAAATGTGCCTTGCATTAACCATCACGTTATGTACATTTTGTGTGTGTGTGTGTTTTTACCCCGCATGTGTTTTCCGTTCAGCACTTCCATAAACTCCAGGCTAGCCAGTTCTCTAGGGAACCTGTATGCCGCTTCAGATGATGCCGAGAGCAAATTGACATCATCGTCCTCTAGGACAGGTTATTCTGTAAACCAAATCTGCAGTCACTTGAATGGCAGCGCGCACCTGCCTGCCAGAAATTACCATGAGCAGAACAACAACATGTACAACAGGAGCGGCAGTAGCGCTACCAACCTCAACAGCTATGCCAATTCTCCCAGCGTCCTGACAGACGAGTACAGCACCTACAGATCCTTTACGGGGCTCGCTGCTTCTCCAGCAAGATACCTGAGTCGCTCAATTCCTGTAAGTTCACAGCCAAAGCAGCCCTTCCAGGAACCCAACAGAATCTCCCTTAAGCCTGAGCTCTCTCTCTCAAAAGGGTTTTTAACCATTCTAGATCTCCGTTTCTGGTCTTTTTTTCCTACCTAGGACATGCAGATCTTTTCACCTTTGCCATTTCCTCTAAGCCAAACTGATAAGCTGCTCTTTACTTCTGCTTCTTCAACGTTTGCTCTAAAAAGCAGATTCTTTTAACTCTCTAACATCTTCCATGAGCGTATCATTCTTGCATTAATCTATCCATTTCAAATCATTCATAATAAAACGCTGAAAACCTGAACCTCACTTGACAGTGTGAGGTCTTCCTGAGTCAATAGATGCATTTAAAGGTAGCATAAAGAATGTTAAATAGGGCATAGCATTCTCACCATTATAAATCAGCCCAATTTGTAAAACGATGTAATGGGCTAAAACAATGGAAGTCTTTTACTTGCCCTAAAAACAAGCTTCCCTGTTTTTATATCTTCTGAAACTTTTCATCTTTATGGTGCCTTTTTCCTATGTGTGAATGAAATGTGCAGATAACTTAAGTACATACTATTAATGTATAGTATTTGACATACTTTCATTATATTTTTGAAAGTTTCAGACAGAAAAGCCAATATATGTTTCTTTTACATTCCATAATCTACCTCAAATTGTACATGCTGCAATTTTTATTTTTATTTTTAAAACCCTTTCTTTAAGCCCCCCTTGACTTCTTTGAATACTGTTTAATGGTCCAGCACAGCAGTGCCTAGGATCAGGCTGCAGAATTATTGCAACTATTAGTGAATACCGCAGTATCTGAAGCCAAAACCAGCACCCCTGCAGCTACTTTGGCATGAGTTATCTGTCATAGAGGTCATTTGAGGTTAGTGTGGAAACCTGCTTCCCAGAACTGAGAATTGGGTTTCTTCATATTAATTTGTTCCTGAAAATTTGTGATGGTGCTCTTGAGAGCATCCAGCGTCTTGCTTCACTTAGGGATAAAAAAACTGTAATTTTTTTCTCTTTGGAAATAATATTGTAATCCCAGAAGTTTATTGCAAGAAGAGTCTGTGGCAGTTGCCTTTTTTTATTTATATAAAATGTGCATTTGTTTTTAATTGCGTTTCTTGTGTCAGAACATTGTCTAAAACACCATAAAATGTCAGCAGTTTTAAGGTGTTATAAAAGGAAGGCACCATGGCTGAAGCAGACCATTTCTTGGTGCTTTTTTCCTGGCATATACTACCTTAAGTTGCAGGTGTTCTAAATTACATTTTGGAATATTATTCTGTAGCAGAGGCTTGCGCTAAATCTCCTGAATGTTTGAGTTTGCTAGAAAGGTGGAAGGGAATATATATATATATATATAGAGAGAGAGAGAGAGAGAGAGAGCGCGTGCATCCTTTTGTGCAAAGGATGAGAGCTGATATATGCAGTGTCAGTGATCCTTAACAAACAAGAATGGATCGGACAACTAGTTTGTCACAGTTTACTTACAGTATGATTCCCATGAATAATGGTGCACAAGGAGATCTGGTAGGGTCTCTAGAGCTGCCATGTTACTGAAAAACAATACAGTTGTGGCTACTCAAAATCATGGTAGCCCTGTTAGGTACATTCATCCTCCACTCTCTGTCTGCCACTAAGTGCAGATTGAGACAAAAGAAAGTTAAGAATTGGACGGGGAGGGGAAAGAGATAGGTCTGAATTGGGCTGCAGGCCATACTGAATGCATTTAATATTGAATTGGGCTGTAGGACATACATACTGCATTTGATATTTAATGACAGTTCTTGGCTTTTATTTATCTTGCTTAGAAACATCTCTTGTTTAATGCAAATTGATTATATAGCTGGGAATGTATCTTAATAGCCCTTCCCTCTGGTTGCACAGCGGGCTATAATAGGTAGATTACATTTCATATTGCGGGATCTGCATACATAAGATTAGATTAGTTCTGACTGTACATAGCAGCCTGCTTGATAGCATGATAGCAGAATGGCACACACTTTAGGATAATATAGCATTAGAGAAGCAGTTTAGGGCCTGCACCTGTTGGCAAGAAAGTCAAAAACAAATGTACTGTGTCAAAACGTTGATCTTAATCATAAGTGCCTTGCTATACTTCTAATCAACGTCACTTAGACTTGGAAATAGCAAATTAATTTGGGGGGAAAGTGTAGATGCAACAAATACACTGCCAAAAATTGAGTCATCCTGGGATCTGTATCCTTTTTTGCTCCCTTCATCTGAGTAAAAGCTGGCTTAGCTCTTCCTTATGAAAGTCTCTGAAAAATCTCAAAAGCATATACAGTGGAACCTTGGATTACGTCGCGGATCTGTTCCGGAGGCCCCGCCACAACCCGAAAACAACGCAACCCAAAGCGTCACGTCTGCGCATGTGCACGATTTAGCGCTTCTGCACATGTGCAAACGGCGCGAACCTGGAAGTAACCCATTCCGGCACTGGTCTCAAGCCAAGGGTGACATAAGCCGGAGGCAATGTAACCCGAGGCTCCACTGTAGAAAGTTTTATTATTATTGCTACAAAGAAGATAAGGAAGGCAAGATGGGCATTTTGACTTCCAAAAAAGAAAAATCTCCCGCAATACGGAGACCATAAAGCAAAACTTTGACATTTTAATTTTTCATCGCTTGTGCCGTATTCAGAAATTTAGACATTGGGTGTATTGCTATGTTCGTTTTTTCTTCTGTCAAATGGGCAGAGACTGGCTCCAGCGCTGTGAATACGCAGCACAAGTCAAGGCTGGTTCAAACATTCAGTGTCTGCACATTTTCTATACGTGGTTATTTACATGGGTACAGCACACAGCCTGCCAGCAGCCATTTCCGTGAACACAGATATGGCTTTCCACCAGCGGCTTTGATTACTACTGAATGATGGGGAGCATGTCTCTTTATATAGGTACATACACACAGGCATAACCAAATGGAGAGAAGAATCTGGGCTTGTTCTGAAGTTCTGATAACGTGGAGCATATTCTACTGTGTAAGGGTTTTTGTTTTTACCTTAATCCAGAAATGTTATTCAGACAAGTAAACACAATGATGGGAGGAGCAGTAGAGCAGCAGAATGCGAGTATTGGCAGTTGACAGTTCTAATAGTTGACACTTTATTACACTGACCTTTGGACCATTATAAACCTGCGGAGGCTTGCGTACGGCTTTCTCCCTGCTTAGATGTCTTAGTAAAGTTACTCCTGCAATTGAACGAGGTCTTTTCGGTGTTATCTGTCTTAGCTGGCATGTGGCTGGAAGGGTTTCTTCTAACATATTTACCTGGAGGTAAGTCCCATTGACTTCACTGGAGCTTACTGCCAGGTAAGTGAGCTTAGGTTTGGGACGAACGATGAGCAGTGTCGTGGGTAATACTTGTGCCAGTTGCAAGAATGAGCAGGGTTTCAAAAGTCGGCCTTTGAAATCCACTTTCTCTTCTCAGAGTTCACAGGGCTTTGTTAATACAAATATCAGCATGCAATCTACACTAACTACGGAATGCAATTTTATGGCTTGCTCTTAACTCTGCTAACTTTCTCCCCCATCCATCTTTGCTGCTTGCAGTACTATTGGTTCTCATTTGTGCTTCCTACTGCTCCTTCCCCTTCTCAAAAACGTATAGCTAAAATGTTTCATTGTGCTTTAAAGTGTGCTGCTATTTTAACACAAGTTAGCCGTGCTACACTCACTTCCTGAACAAAGTTAAAACCTGAAGGGCGTTCTTTCATTGTTGAAGTTAAAGTGAATGCAATTAAACTACAAATTGCTGCAATTTCATCTTGCCACTTTCTTTACGGAGATGAATTTTAGAGGTGATTATGACTGCGCCTTTTGTTTTAAAGCACTTAATGCAAAAGGCAGCGAGAATTCTTAATTGGTAGCAACAATGAAAACGTGGAATACCGTGGAACAAAGTGGGTCTCTGAAGATACGTCAGCTGCCAAAAAGAAAGAAAGAAAAGAAAAACAACACATTTCTATTCCTCATAATTTAACATTCATCTTTAATTACCATAACACAAAAGAAGTTTGCTATAGTAGTTCCGTTGGTTTTTGTGGGACACACTATACATTACAGGAAAAAGAGTCCTTTAAAAGATCCTATTAGCTGAAGTGCTTTTCCAGCCCAATCTTACTGTTAATTTTTGCTGTCTCTGCATGGCTGCAGCTGATACAAAACCACATCAAAATTTGCATCCTCAAGGAAGAATGTCCCTTGTGTGTCTGCATGAGTCTCTCTACTGGGGTCGCCTCCTTCCTGATATAAAGGAGGAAAGGCCAGATCAGAGACTCTTGCAGAGAAACACCAGGAGGTAGATTCCTCTGAGGGCGGATAATCCTTCCTCTTTCACACTCCAAATCAGTGTTTCCCAAACTTGGATACTGAACTACAATTCCCATCATCCCTGACCACTGGTCCCACTAACTAGGGATGATCTGATTTGTAGTCCAAAAACAGGCGGAGACCTAAGTTTGGGAAACACGGCTCTAGATGTAAACTTGCCTGGTTGTAAAGGCCCGATCGTGCCTCCCATTTTAAATAGGGGTGTGCCGCAGCTAGCAGACATTTGGGAAACCTGATTTTACCACTTCCCTTTTACTCCTCCAGATGTCCATTTGTACTGTATTTCTATAGTGTGAGTGTATTAACTTTGCTTCCTGGCCATGCCCTGGATCTCTCTAGTCAGTGTTTTTTGTTTTGTTTTTAGAACAAAAATAATGATAATGACAAGCTTGTTTGATATGGAAAAGTTGATTGTTAATTGAACCTCACTGTGTCTCTTAATCTGAATCTTAACACTAGTTTTTGTTTCTCGCCTGCACAGTCCCTTCAGTCTGAATATGTTCAGTACTAAAGCCTTGTTGCTTCGGTGAAAGCTGGACAATTCTTAAAATTCGGTTCTCTTCGAGAAGAGCAATGTTGTGGGGAAAACAACCCGCCCAAGGGGACGAGGCCTCTTCACAGACGATTAGAGCTAAAGACACCAAAATCTCTGAATTACCTAAAGACTTCAGTTAGTGACTACTACGAACGCACTGAAGTTAAAACTTACGACTAGTACAATTTTGTGTATAGATGCAAGATTTTAAAATGGAGAATATTTCTAATGGATTTTAGCAATATATTTGTAATTATGGTTCTCGATAACAGTGTTATTATAATGTGTGTATATAAGTATATATATATAAATATATATATAAATATATATTGAGTAAAATATTTTGTGTGTATATAAATATCTATAAATTGTGTAAACATAGGCTATATTTTGATTTAAGCTTCACTTTTTTAATCCCTCCAAAACTGTGTGTATTTTTAAATGTCTTGGTTTACATTTCAAACATTAGCCAGCACCCAGAGGAAGCAATGGGTGAAAACCACTTCTGTGTACATCTGGAGGGGAATGGGTTAGCTTATAAGTGGCAGCCCTCCCCCCCCCCCCCCCGCTCCACCTCAGCCTTGTGGGTTGCTGCATCTCAGAGGGCCCTTCAACTTCTGCAGCATGCAACAAGGTGTCAGAAGAGGGGAACTAAAAAATCTATGTGCCTATTTGGAAGCCTCGTGTTCATATCTCTTGAACCTGGCCGTTGAGAACAGAGCTGCTTGCTGATTTTATTTTCATGCACTGTGGCTACAGTATTACAAATAATTTTTAAGAGTGGGAAGAAAGTTAATATCAGCCTCATTGCTTTGGCTTTGAAAATGCTAATGTTTGAAATGGACATTTTTTCAAAGGGATATAGAATGCCTATGAAGCAGGCCTGTTCTAGCATCCTTAATTAAGCGTCTTTTCCATGGAAAGGGAAAGTAATTTTTAAATAAATAATTAGTATGTTACCTTGTTAACATTTTCAGCCCAGTAATTAGTTCTGCAAAGACGTTCTGTTCCTTAGAGCCTTGCCTTTCTGTATTTTCCTTTTCTGTATAATTCAGTTCTAGAAACTGTACTGTATCAGAATGCAAAGCCAGGATGAAATATCCATCTATGTATAGTGAGCAAAGTGTTTGTGCATAGCACGGAAGACACGTACTGTCTGAATTTGTAATAGTTGCAAAGATTTTGTCGCTGCATATTTAGACATGGAGGCAGGAGTTGCACGTTTCCACTATGGATTTTAGATGCACTGTTAAAACTATGCCCCTCTTTGTGTTTTACTCCTTCCATGTTCAGCCATGCTGTCGTACTTACTATACCGGTAAATGCTGTTGCTTTTCGCTAATGTCTCTTTCCCAGTTCAATTTAATCACGAAACTATTTCAAACAATGCTATTGTAGGTCTTCACCATAACCCTTCAAAATTAGTTCTGAAATAACTGCACTTCTGATATTTCCCAACTGCAGTATTGTCAGTGTCGCTCAGAGTGCAATAATTGTGAAAGTGAAATGGTAACGGTCATTTCACTTACAATTCATATTATGTGAAGAAGAAACCACTGCACTCCTTGGTCATGTTCAAGCAATCACATCTCAGCTTAGTTGACCAAGATAAGAACAAAACTTTTGCATTCATATGCAGCCCCATTGCTCATCTCTTCACAGTGCAAACAATCAAACCCAGAAACCTCTAACCATAATTTCCTATTTCAGCCAAACCAGAAAATTTATGAGCAATAGTTTCAGAAGAAATTGGAATATTAAATCAAGGTTTGAAGTTGATTTAATTTCCCGGCTTGTTTCAAAACTGGTAACTGCAGTTTTCCAGTTCTCTTATTTTAACCAAGATACGTTTGTCTAAACCAGGCCACCGCCCCAGGAATGTATTTTTTGGTCCTATCAAGGAGAGATAAATACTAATGAGTTTTTTTAAAAAAATAAATCATTATTTTGAAGGGAAATAGTCCTAATTATGATGGATAAATTCTTCTTGACTGAAGCTGGTTTAATCACTGAATTCAATATTTTTTTATCATATGTACATAAAATGTACTGTATATGAGTAAGCGATAGGCAGATTCTAAGGTAATTCTACCTCTATAAAGTTTGACATGTATTTTGTTACTAGCTTAGTTACTAGAAAGATGTACTATTTTTGCAATGTAGAAATAATAAACGCTAATAGATAATAAAAGTAAATTATGCACAACTTAATTTCTTTGTTTTAAGCAGGTGCTGGTGCCCCAATACTTCAGTTTTGTGAAATGTATTTGGAGGACCCCCTAGAATCTAAAACCACCTTCCCTCAAATTCAAGCCTTCCTTCACAGTAGCTGTTAATGTGGATTCTTTCTCTCTTGCAGCTACTCACCCATCTCACTGCTCTTTTCTTGAATGCTAGCCTTTCTTGTTCTGGTGGCAACCTTGTCTTAGGGACCCCTCGCAGTCTTCCTGTTCCTGGTCTTGCAATTGAGGCCAGCCTTATTTCTTCCCAACCATGGCCAACATCTCTCCTAAGGCATTCACATTTGTTTTAAACCATCCTCTCAATCTTGTTGTGCTAAAAAAAGATGTCCAGCATCACGTACAAGGGTGTCCCCTTGCTCTGTTAGCTGGAAGGTGTTTGGCAGACCTAACAGGAGGCAAACCATGAGCAAGTAGAGAGTGTTTCTTCATAGAGAATAGGAAAACCCTGTACAGTGACACCTCGGGTTACAGACGCTTCAGGTTACAGACTCCGCTAACCCAGAAATAGTGCTTCAGGTTAAGAACTCTGCTTCAGGATGAGAAGACAAATCATGCTCCAGCGGTGCGGCGGCAGCAGGAGGCCCCATTAGCTAAAGTAGTGCTTCAGGTTAAGAACAGTTTCAGGTTAAGTTCAGACCTCCGGAACGAATTAAGTACTTAACCTGAGGTACCACTGTACAGTGGTACCTCGGGTTACAGACGCTTCAGGTTACAGACTCCGCTAACCCAGAAATAGTGCTTCAGGTTAAGAACTCTGCCTCAGGATGAGAACAGAAATCGCGCGGCAGCGGGAGGCCCTATTAGCTAAAGTGGTACCTCAGGTTAAAAACAGTTTCCGGTTAAGAACGGACCTCCGGAACGAATTTAAGTTCTTAACCCAGGGTACCACTGTATAAGCAAGGCCTGGGGAGTAGCTATCTGGCCTGAAATTAATAAAGAAATGTTAGAAGTTTCCACACATTTCCATTTCCACTTTTTACTGCTGAAGCGGAACAGACATCAATCAGAACAAAAGCAACTTTTTTTGTAGTGTATATGCACGTCTATATGGAATTCCCAAACAATGCCTTACCATTTCAGTCTGCTCATAGCAGCCCGGTTCGCACGACAGTATATGGTAACCACGATGATGTGGGTACCCAGAGAGCAGCTTGAAGCCTCTTTGCTGCTTCTACTCAGTCCTTTTTGCTTTCTCAACACACTGAGCTGTGTGGGTGTGGGTGTAGATATTCTCCTAAAAGCATCTGCTTTACATTTTCTAGTGAAAATTAAGTCCCGTTTTTTTCCTCCCCTGTAAAACATTTTATACCACTGAAATGATTTCTCGCCTGACATTTCCCTGCAGTTTAGCGCTATTCATGCATCTAATAAAAGGATGCCACTTTTCTGGAAAGAGGTCGCTGTAACGTCGATCCTTCCATAGATGTCTTACTGCAAGTCGTTTCATGAACAGCACATGCCAATCTCTTCCTTCTCAGATTACCTTTTCGGAACAAATTCATCCAGTCTTGAGGAAGGAGGCCAGAAGACTCTCTGTCCAAGCCTTCACACCTCCTTCCCAGGAGGAAGGTAGCATGAGGGTTTGGGGCCAGTGTCAAATGCTGCAGAGAGCTGCCCCCAAAGGCTGTGGGGGTGGGGGCTGCATGTTGGACCATCTTGATTTAGGTGTTTCAAACTTTGGGTTTAGATGCTTTCCCCTATGTGGCCAGCTGACAGCATAGGTGCCATAAATGGCACACAGAGAGATCACAAATTCCCTGTGGCATATGCAGCAAGAAGCTGGGGAAACTACGGCTTGTGGTCTGGCGCTGGGTCGCTCCCTTGTTTGGTGTGATTTCCGCTTGAATCTGCTAAGGTATGCGAGGCTGTACATACAACTGCAATATGTGCTGGAGTGGCATGACAGTGTTTTTATGCTGTATACCGCACTGTGATCCTCAGAGGAAAGGCAGCACCGTATTTTTTGACCGTATAAGACGCCATACAAAGCACACCATATAAGACGCACCGTATTTCTCGACCATATAAGACGCACCCGACCACAAGACGCACCTAGTTTTAGAGGAGGAGAACAAGGGGAAAAAATGTTCTCTCCCTCTCTGCGCAGCGCCCCTCCAGCGAAGCGGCAGGAGAAACGAAGCCCCTTCCAGAGAGGGAAAGCTGCGCAGCGCCGCTCCAGTGAAACGAAGCCAGAAGAGCAAGAGGGATCGATCCCTCTTGCTCTCCTGGCTTCAGCGAAAGCTGCGCAGCCTGCATTCGCTCCATAAGACGCACACACATTCCCCCTTTTTAGGATGGGGAAAGTGCGTCTTATTGAGCGAAAGATACGGTATATACCGTATTTTTCGTCCCATAGGACGCTCCGTCCCATAGGACGCACCTAGTTTTTTTGGGGGGGAAATAAAGGAAAAAATGTTTTCCTTTATTTCCTCCCCAAAAGCAGGTCGGGGAAACTGAACCAGGTCGAGGAACAGCGGGATGGCGGCGCTGCGCCTCCCTGCTGTCCCCCGAGCTTGTGGGGCTGGCCGATGTCTGCCCAGCGCGAGGGGCGCCCTACTTCAGGGCGCCCCGCCCACCGGGCGGCAGGCTGCTATCCGCAGCGTGGGGAGCCCTGCGGGGAACTCCTGCAGGGCTCCCCACGCTGCGGATGTCTGTCCGGCGGGCGGGGTGCTCTGGTTGAGGGCGCCCCGCCCACCGGGCGGCAGGCTGCTATCCGCAGCCCAGACAGCCCTGCGGGACCTCCCGCAGGGCTGCCTAGGCTGCAGATGTGTTCCCGAAGCGCCGGGCGCTCTGCTTTCAGGGCGCCCGACGCTCTGGGAAGCAGGCTGCTATCCGCAACCTAGACATCCCTGCAGGAACTCCTGCAGGGCTGCCTAGGCTGCGGATGTCTTCCTGAAGCCTGGAGAGTGAGAGGGGTCGGTGCGCACCGACCAAGCTCTCCAAGCTTCAGCGAAAGCCTGCATTCGCCCCATAGGATGCACCCAGATTTCCCCTTCATTTTTGGCGGGGGAAAAGTGCGTCCTATAGGGCGAAAAATACGGTAAATTTAATATAATCATACCATTTCCACACCTCCCCCCAAAAAACAACCTGATTGCACACTGCCTAAATGACCTTACTGAGTCAGACCATTGATGCATATATCTCAGTATTGTCCACACTGACTGACAAAACAAAAACAACCTGCTTTCCGGTAGAGATAAGGCTGCAAGATAAACCTACCTTGCTGTTGTACTAGAGGTTTTTAACTTTGCAATTTTGGATTTTGTTTGCTTGTTTAACACACAGGAGCATACAGGCATCTGAAGGCAGCCCTGTGTAGGGAAGTTTTTAATGTTTAATTATGTTTTTGTATATGCTGAACGCCACCCATAGCAGTCAGATGCATGGGGTACAAATAAAATTATTATTATTATTATTATTATTATTATTAATAAGAGTATGTCCTCACCTGCTGTCTGAACTGGTATGGCCTGCTTAGCTGCCTTTAGATTTTATCACTCCGATTTACTGCATGTGATCTTCATATAGGCTGCATTGATATATTTAAAGCACACCCCCCCCAAAAAAAATACTGGGAACTGCCGTTTGTAAAGTGTGGTGGGAATCGTAGTCCTGTGGGGGGGGGTTGAACTACAGTTCCCAGAGTGATTTGGGTGGGTGCTTTAAATGTGTTTTAAATGTATGGTGTGTACAGACAAAGCTTTTCATATGCTGCAAGACGTCAAATGTAGAGTTCTCGAGTGATGTGCATTGCTGGGGAAACCCAGCCAGGTCAGCGGGGTATAAATTTATTATTATTATTATTTTTATTATTATTATTATTATTATTATTATTATTACATGTGTGAGCCGGTCCTCAAAAATATACAGAAGTGTTTACAAAATCTGTCCATAAGTAGATAAAGAGAAGATGAATGAATGAAAATGCCTTGGTTTTAGAATGTTGCTGCTTAGGATATTTCATTCTTATCCACTATTTTATTAATTTATTGAATAATTTACTTTCAAAATGCTGTCCTTCCGTTGATGCAACTTTGTATTTGCTGTACAGTCTTTTTAAGTTTAATAAATAATTTTGTTTATTTATGACAGTGGCATACAAGGGAATAGCAAAAGGGAAAAAAGAGCAATAGAAAATCTCAGTAAAATATGCACAAAACAGAACAGCAGCATTTTAAAAAAAAAATCAGAGTTGACAAAACCTTACCAGTGGGTTCAAGTTCTGTCTGGTCAAATGGATACATATTCTTTGTCTGGGAGCAAAAGAGCAGCAGGTGGCTATAGATGAGCCTCCCTAGGAAGGGCCTTACATCACGGGTGTCAAACACAAGGCCCGCGGGCCGAATCTGGCCCACCAGACTTTGTCATGTGGCCCGTGTAGCCACCGCCAGCCGCCAGCCTTCACCTTTTATTCTCGCTTTTTTTTTTTTGACACAAGAAAGCCGCCTCTTCACCGCATGCGCGGCAGCCTACAAGCCAGAGAACGTCTGCCCTCTAGCGGCGCCAGCCGTTCTACACAAGAAACCTCCACTTTGAGGGTGACCAAACCACGGCCCTTTGAGGGTGACCAAACTGCTGATGCGGCCCCCAATGAATTTGAGTTTGACACCCCTGCCTTACATAATGGGAGCATCACAATGAAGAACCAGCATTATCATTTGTGTCTCCCTCCACCCAAAAGAAAGAAAGAAAGAAAGAAAGAAAGAAAGAAAGAAAGAAAGAAAGAAAGGGAAGAGAGGATTTGGTTTTAATCCAGTTGTAAATCAGTGTTGGTAACTCTGAATTAGGGACAGAGCAATTTCAGCCCTCTCTGTTCCCGATTCTTCCCAAATCTTAAATCCAGTTCTCCACATTTCTGCAGCAATTTGCAATCCTTGTGAAAATTCTTCTGCATGTTATTGTCAATTTATCCCAATAAGCACATTTTTCTATGGAGCTTTGACTTACAGAGCCCAAATTTTTTCAAGCAATTCCTCCTAAAAGAGCGCATTTTTGAATGTTTTTTTCTCCAATATATTCATATTTATGCGTATTTTTTTACCTTACACATATGCATTTTTGTAAACCGTACTTGGTTGGAAAACTGCATCATTTATTATTATTTTTGGATGAATGTGGATGGCTGTGCTTCAGTTTTCATATAACAGGTGTTCCCCCCCAATTTATGTGGGGGGTTACATTCCAGGAGCCCATACGCATAAGTGAACTTGCATAAAGTGGGGAGCACCCTCTAAAAAACCTCTTAAAAGCCTCAAAACACCTGTTTCTTCCTGCTGTCCAGCTCTCTCTCCACACAACTCCCTCTCCAACTAGAGTCGAAGCTCTGGGGCCGGCTGGAGGCTGGACGATGCACGGAAAAGCATCTGTGCAGCTACTGCTGTGCTACTCCGAGTGTTGGCTGCTAGACGGGGAGCTGAGCAGCCTAAACAAAGCCCCACTGTGCCTCAGGTCTCGTTGGGGCTTCCTCCGCCCTCACTGACATCTTCCCCAGGCTCTGAGGAGATCTCCAGAGCTCTTCTTCCACTTCCTGGTTTGTTGTTGTTTAGTCATTTAGTTGTGTCCGACTCTTCGTGACCCCATGGACCAGAGCACGCCAGGCACTCCTGTCTTCCACTGCCTCCTTCAGCTTGGTCAAACTCATGCTGCTAGCTTTGAGAACACTGTCCAACCATCTCATCCTCTGTCGTCCCCTTCTCCTTGTGCCCTCCATCTGTCCCAACATCAGGGTCTTTTCCAGGGAGTCTTCTCTTCTCATGAGGTGGCCAAAGTATTGGAGCCTCAGCTTCAGGATCTGCCCTTCCAGTGAGCACTCAGGGCTGATTTCCTTAAGAATGGAGAGGTTTGATCTTTCAGTCCATGGGACTCTCAAGAGTCTCCTCCAGCACCATAGTTCAAAAGCATCAATTCTTCGGCGATCAGCCTTCTTTATGGTCCAGCTCTCACTTCCAAACATCACTACTGGGGAAACCATAGCTTTAACTATATGGAGCTTTGTTGGCAAGGTGATGTCTCTGCTTTTTAAGATGCTGTCTAGGTTTGCCATTGCTTTCCTCCCAATAAGCAGGCGTCTTTTAATTTCATGACTGCTGTCACCATCTGCAGTGATCATGGAGCCCAAGAAGGTAAAATCTCTCACTGCCTCCATTTCTTCCCCTTCTATTTGCCAGGAGGTGATGGGACCAGTGGCCAGGATCTTCCTTTTTTTGATGTACCGTTCTATTTATTTATTTAATTATCTCCTGGCAAAGCATGCATGCACGGCTGCGCACGAGTCGGTGGGGGGTGCCTGCATTTCAGAAACGGTGAATTGGGTAGATTTGCCTTTGAAATGTGACCCGAGTCAGCTTTTTGTCCTCCGTACAGTCTCTGAATAGGTATGTATCTCCACAGGTGCATTGAAACACACATCCAGAAAGTATAAAGTGTCTGGAATTCGCATCAGCTACATGCCTAGTAGACAACTTCTTGGGCGTAGCAGCATTTATGGGGGGGGCACCCACTTGTCCTCATCCTCCGTCTGGCTCCGTCTAGCAGATTCGGAACGAAACGTCTCCACAACAGTTGTTTTAAATGACTTTCTGTTGACCTCAAGCTCTCGGGGGAAAATCTGTCAAAATCTTCAGTGGTTTCAAAACTAGGGAATTAAATAAAAATAATAACATCGTTGACTGAGGCCTGAGGGCTTTCCGCAGTATAAATAGCCTGTGGGGAATTTCTAGTCATTTCTAGACAGGCCTCGTAGGGGCGCACTCTCAGGAGAGAAGGCCAAGAACTATGAGAAGCTTCCAGAAGCTGAGCTACCTGCGATGCGATTGGTCGGTTTGCGGAAGCCACACCTATCGCTCTGTCGGTTGCGTCTCTCGAACGCGGCACAACATCATCCAAGTGACCTCCGTGAGCGCTTTCAAACATTCTGATCATTCCTACTTTTGGTTAAGTGTTTTATTTATTTACTTACTTGATTTAGGGGGAGCAGTTCCCGCCCCCCCTGACCAAGCCCATGGGAAACTTCCACCTTGTTGGATTGGGGCATTTTGGTGCACCCACCTTGGACATTTTCAGTCAGGGAGACCACTTCGTGCGTGTTAAATCTCCAGCTTTCAATATAAGGACAGCACCTGCCCCCTCCCTCTCTTAGGAAAAGCCATGTACTGCATCCCTCCTATTTTGTACCTTTCTCAACTCCGTTGCCACGATGCTTTGCGTTCGCAAGGACAGGTTTCCGGAAGTGGGGGAACTCTATGGCAAAAATACACTAGAGAATCAGCACGGTAATATGATGAAGACTCTGTTGCCAAGGAGCAGAATGTTTTAAGCAAGAGCGTGGTTTTTCCCTCCCCATATTGCAACTAAAGATTTGATCTAAAATTAGATTTTTTTAAAAAAAAATTTAAAAAAGGGAAAAAGGAGGAAATAAACCAACCACATCCTCACGGAGGGGCGTCGGAGGAAATGGAAGTAAATGTGAGCAAAGGAATTTCTTCTCCATCCTGGAAATCAGTGCTACGGGAGAGGTCCAGGAAGAGACCAGAGGGGGGTGATTTGAGAACTCCAGTGGGTGGCGATGGAGGCAGGGGGAGAGAGATCTGTCTCTGTAATTGCAGGCTTTTCAGTGCAAGCTGGGTTCTTTCTTTTTCTTTCCCCCCTCCCCTCCCCTCCCTCTCCCTCTCTCCTGCTCTGGCAAGCCTGAAACCTGCTGAATAATTCATAAAGATGAGAAGCGCCGAATTTCCCCAGGCTGATAATACAGTGTGCATGCTGTAAAGCGAGAGAAGATGCTCCAGGTCTTCGGATGAGCTGCTGCCACTCTTGAGGCCATTGCCCAGAGGGTGCTGGGACTCCTGGTATTTCCACAGCTGAGGTTTCTTTTTTTTCCTGCCTTGCTTCCTTCCTCGCTCGCCTGCCTGTCTTTGGGCACTCGTTGCTGGCTGCACTCGACCAGGAGAATCTAACTTTGCTGCAGTCATGGAGATTTGGATGCAAGCTCTGGATTTCGCCCTCCTTCTGCTTGCCTGGCTTGCAAACACCAGCCTTGGATCCATCGGCAAGCTTGTTCTTTCGTGATCTGGAATACTTGCAGCCTCCCCTGTGTAGAAATACGGTGAAGGAGACTCACGTATCCCTTCTTTCACCTCTGCCAACAACTGACTCTGGAGACCTGGCACGATCGGAGAAGTTGGTGTTTTTCCATGGGATCCAGTCTTGCTCTCTGCTTGTTTTGGAGATCGCCGTCTACATTCTGGGACGTCATGTATGTTTGGTACTTTTCTGACGATCTGCTTTGGCTCCTGCTGTGTTCTGCCTGGTCTAGGAGATTTTCCTGGATTTCTTCCTGGCTCAGCTTAGCCTTCTCCAGAACTGAGCAGTGCTGAGGTTGGTCTGGAGCGTCTCACTTGTGCGCCGCACAATGCCCAATATCTCCTTCTCCTCTTCTTCCTCCTCCTCCTCCTCCTGGAGCTCTAGATCCTTGCAACAGCTGCTTTGCGAAGAAGACTCCCTGGGGACGAGGATCTCTTTGTCTCTCTTCTACTTGCTGCTAGCCATCTACGGGACCATATCCAACATCATGGTCATCTACCTGGTCTTCACCTTCAGGAAGCTACGCACCACCAGCAACGCTTTCATTGTCAATGGTTGCGTTGCGGACCTGAGTGTCTGTGGCCTTTGGATGCCGCAAGAAGCGGTGCAGGGACTGCTCCCTTCTGGGTCCCCAACAGTGCGGTCAGAAGGGTACCGGTTGCTCCGTGCTGGGCTGGTGGGCCTTGGGCTCATCGTCTCACTGCTCTCCCACCTGCTGGTGGCCCTCAACCGCTATGTCCTCATCACCAAGCCACCCATCACGTACCAGGCTGTTTACCAGAGGAAGCACACGGCCTGGATGATCAGCTTGTCCTGGGGGCTGGCCCTCCTCCTCGCCTCCGTCCCCCCAGGACTGCAGATGTGGCAACCCAGCCGGCAGGAGTCTCAAAATGGCACCAGTACCAAGAGCTCGAACTACGTGGGCCTTCTGGTAGCCCTGGCTGTCCTCATCCAGACAGTCCTCCTGCTCCACTGCTACATGGGGATTGTCAGGAGGGTGAGGGGCAGCGTCAAGCGCGTCAGCGTCCTCAACTTCCACCTGCTCCAGCAGCTCCCCTTCCCAGCAGCCTCGGCGGCTCCCCGCCGGGCCCGGCGCCTGAGCAGCATCTCTGTCTTGCTCCTCTGCCTCGCCTTCCTCCTGGCCACGCAGCCTTTGGTGTGGGTCAGCTTTCTGGGCTTTTTCTTCTGGCCCATGCCCCGGGGGCTGCAGATCGCCAGCTGGCTGCTCTTCTGCTCTCTCTCGGCCTTCAACCCGCTGCTCTATACGTGGAAGAACGAGGAGTTCCGCCGCTGTGCCCGCTTAGTGCTACCCGGAGGGGAAAACCCGGCGGTGGCGGTAGCTGCCGCAGCGGCCACTACCGCCCTCCCCACAGTGTCTCTTCCCTCTCAGGAGCCATCGCAGCTGGGGACCAAAGTGGAAAGTCTAGGCAGCTTAGTGCTTCACTGACACCCCCCTAAATTCTCACGCTCTTAGGTGAAAAGGTGTTGGGAGACATTAGCCTTGGACTCAGGCAGGGGTCAGCAAAGTTTTTGTGGTTCACGGTCCCGCAGATGCCGCAGTGGGCTGGAGTGTGTGTGCGTGTGTGTGCATGCACGCTCAAATGCTATTTCCGGCACTACTTCCTGCATGGAGGAGGCGTGCAAAGCTTCCTATTGGCTGCAGGAGCTTCCTGCAGCCAATGGGAAGCCGGGCAGCATTGTGGAAGGCGGTCCCCGCTCTGCTCTGCGCCGGTTTAGTGTGGCACACGGGAGCTGACAAAGCGGGCAGCGTGGGTCCCCGAGGGGGCTGCGGGGGTCCATGGGCCGATTAAATGACCCCCATGGGCTGCTTGTGACCCATGGACCTTAGGTTGCTGACCCCTGGACTCAGGTATCGCATGCGGGCCATTGTCAACAGGTGGGGATGTTGTCCTTTACAGAGGTTGCTTCCAGATAACCTGCTTAGCCATCATTTACGTTGATTCGTTTGCGCAAAGTCCACAGGGAGGTTAGATGATGCTAGCTATTTATTGTCTGTTCTGATTGGTTTGCAGTGAGGTCAGGTGACCTCATGCTGGGCAAGTGTCACGGCTAACTTTCTGGTGCCACTTTCCTCATGGTAAAAAAAGTTCCCTTTGGGAGAGCAAGTGGTTTAGTTGCTCAATACCCATTTTTAATGGTACAACCTGAATTTGCCTGGACGGGACGAAATCCCATCTGAAAATAGCAACAGTCTGGAAGCGCCTTTATTAGATTTCCCCCCCCCCCCCCCCAGAAATGGGAAGTCTGGATTAAACAGGGTATGGCCGGGGGCGGGGAGGAGGATACAACTGAGGCTGCATGCATGAAGAGCAGCAATCCCATAATAAGCAGCCATCTGGAAGCACCCACCAAATGACTCACTGAACTGCACAGTACTCCACTCCCTACGGAGAGGCTTTTAAAAAATAAAATAATGCACAGACACTTGTCAGCTTTAAAATGTATATATTTGTATCAAATCTCTTTCGCACTTTGTGGAGTTTTCCAGAAAAAACTCAGTGCAGTCAAGCGGATGAAAAGGTCTGATTATATACCTCAATTTTTGGCCTCTCCATGTCTTCACTGTTTCTCCTGAACGTTTTGCACTCCTTCTTGGCTTTTACAAACTGCCAACGGAGGAGACTGGCTTGTAAAGGAGAGATTGCCTTAGCCGATGGATAAGGAGCACACGGTGGCCACAGATAAGATGCAAAGGATGTATCTGAAAGATTTCGGAAAACAGGGGGAAAGACTTTCCGTCTGAGCCATTGGAAACCTATCACCAGAGGCAGACAAGGCTTCACTCCTTAGAGAATCTTGGGCATTAAGACTCCTGGAAACTGTGGTTTCTTAAGGATGCTGGGCTATGTAGTTCTGTGAGAGGCAAACCACAGTTCCCATGATTATTTGGGGATGTTTTTTAAATGTACGCTGGTGCTGTCTTTCTGCTTGGTTTACGAACAGTGGACTTTTTTTTTTTTTTGGCACACCCAAGGCAGAAGTAATCTACCCCTCAGTTCGTAATTATCCAAAGCAAGTGAGCTAGGGCAAATGTCTCCCCTTTTTAGGGTTGAGAACTCCCCATGACAAGAAACGACGGCAGAGAGCACAGAGGGGGGTGTTAAGGCAGCTGCTGTGAGGGCCTAAATTCTCCAACCAAACAGCTCACTGGGCAACCTGTGGGCAAGTAGCCATTTTGGGTTGTATCTGACTCTACTTAGGATAGACCCAACTGGAACGAACGAACTGAAGTGAGTCATGCCCATTAACTTCAATGGGTCGACTGTGGATGGCTAGCATTGAACGAACCCCTACAAGCTTAACCTACCTCATGAAAGGGGTTGTGTGTGTGTGACAGGTGCCCTTAGGGCATGAGGAAATGGTAGCAGTGAACAGAGAGGTTTTGTTCATAGGTTAGGAGAGGAGAATCTCTCCTATGACCCCATCAGTGGAAGTAAAGGTTCCCAGTCTCATGGGCAGTGGCTCAACCCTAGGAATTGGGTGGGTGGGTGGGGGTTTCAGTCTAATTTGCATTTAAAGGTGAAGCTCCCCTCGTTCGCACTTCCCAGTACAATAAGTGGACCAAAGCACTTCTCTGAATTCTCCAGTGGTGTTTTCCAGGCAAATAATGTGTACTAAAATGCACATAATATGGAGAAATGTACGTAAAGATGCATATATTGATGACAATGGCATATCTCCTTCCTAAATCATTACATTAGAGGGAAACGGCTTGCCGGAAAAGGTATATATAGTAAATAAAATTGCATACAAACTTGTGTTAGGAGAAATTCCTCTAAGAACGTGGGCGAATTTTCATGACGACTTTTTTTTAAAAAAAATCACAAACTAATATGTTTTCATATTTAGTTTTGTAAAAATCATACAAAATCCAATGAAAATAATATTTTTAAAAGACTAAAAAGAAAAGAAATGTGGAGAACTGAGCTCAAGATTGAAAAAATGAGAAACAGAAAAATCAAAATGGACTCTTTCCTCATCCCTGATGTCCCTGAATTCAGTCATTTACTTCCAGCCATTTTATGGAACGGCAGCCATTTTTTAATGGGCAGGAAAACTAAAGCACTGCCATATGCTGAAGCTGTTGACCCTAAACATTGCCAGACTTCAGCACTCACTATTCCTGACCATGCTGGCAAAGGCTGATGGGAGTTGGGCGTCCGAACTATTGAGAAACCACCATGTTGGGGAAGGCCGCTGTAATGTTACAGTCATGTTTGCATGCACTGTCCCAGGCTTGCACAAATATATGCTGTAGTAATGATGAAACCCCCACTGCTAGCTGGCTTTCTTGTGCAGATCTTGGAAGGAATGGAGCTGTGTGGCCAATACACTCTTGGTCCCTGGATCACAGGAGAGAGAGAACAGAGTGGCTTCTGACTGAGTCTATGAACGTTGACCAAACTTGGTCTACATTACATTGGTTGTGGTAGCTACCATGTTCTCCAGATGTTCCTGGACTCCAGCTCCTGCCAGCCCCAAGCCAGCATGGCCAGAGGTCAAAGATAATGAGAGTTGTAGTCCAACAACATCTGGAGAGCACAGCATTGCCTACTCTTAATAAAGGTAAAAAGGTAAAGGACCACTGGACGGTTAAGTCCAGTCAAAGGCGACTCTGGGGTTGTGGCACTCATCTCGCTTTCAGGCCAAGGGAGCCGGTGTTTGTCCACAGACAGCTTTCCAGGTCATGTCGCCAGCATGCCTGAACCGCAACAGAACACCGTGACAGAAACCAGAGTGCACGGAAACACAGTTTACCTTCCCACCACAGCAGTACCTATTTATCTACTTGCACTGGTATGCTTTCGAACTGCTAGGTTGGCAGGAGCTGGGACAGAGCAATGAGAGCTCACCCCATCGCAGGGATTTGAACCGCCGACCTTCTGATCAGCAAGCTCAAGAGGCTCAGTGGTTTAGACCACAGCGCCACCCGCATCCCTTTACCTACTCCTAATAGAATATTTTGATGCAGGTTTCTACACAACATTTTCCCTGGCACTGAGCAAAGATGGGATGGCCATCTGGCCCCTTCCATCCTATGACTCAGTGAACAATCTCCTTGAATAACGCGGGAGAACTATTTATACAGGTACAGATTTACCAGCTCTACCTATGAACAAAAGCAGGTTTCATCTTTCCTAATATGGAATTTTCCAGCCCGCTTGAACATTGCTCTCTCTCTCCCCAGAATGCAGAGGCTGATGACAGCTGACAGTGGGTAGGCTGCTAAGTTAAGCCTCCAAGGGGGCACGATGTGAGCTAGTACTGAACACATGTCATTGTTTGTGCTGCTGCAGCAGATCTAAAAGGTAGAATTAGTACGCTGGTTACCAGGCTGTGCTCCCATGCTTTCCGTGGGAAGGATATGGGAGGGTCCAGTTTTGTGATTAGGCAAAGCCATTATAGGATATACTGCAGTCGTCGAGATGCTTTTTAATATATTGTTTTCGTATTTATTTTTTTAGAGCACAATGTATCACCATAACAGTTAGAATTCCATATATACTTACCTAATATTGATATTAGGGACACAGGTGGTGCTGTGGGTTAAACCACAGAGCCTAGGACTTGCCAATCAGAAGGTCGGCGGTTCAAATCCCCGCGATGGGGTGAGCTCCCGTTGCTCGGTCCCTGCTCCTGCCAACCTAGCAGATCGAAAGCACGCCAGTGCAAGTAGATAAATAGGTACTGCTGCGGCGGGAAGGTAAAAGTGTGCTGCTCTGGTTCGCCAGAAGCGGCTTAGTCATGCTGGCCCCATGACCTGGAAGCTGTACGCCGGCTCCCTCGGCCAATAAAGCGAGATGAGCGATGCAACCCCAGAGTCGGTCACGACTGGACCTAATAGTCAGGGGTCCCTTTACCCCTTTACCTTTAATATTGATATTATCAAAATAGATGTATTATTATTTCTAATGCACTTATATAACTATCATTTCCCCCCTCCCCCCTCAACCTACTGTATTTTATATAAATGAGTTCCAAACTTCATTATACTTGGTTATGAAAAGTCTCCATCTATAAGCAATCCGCTTCTATGCAGAAACTGCAGTCAGGCCTTGAGTCCATTGAATAAATGGAGCAGTACATTTATTGTCCCAGCACAACAGTATCAGTCTTTTGGCCATAGTGAGGGCACAGAGATATGTTGCCCCGTTGTCAAATTCCCTATAGCTCAAAAGAATATTATCCTTTGAAAATGTTTGCCTTTTTTCGCACAGAGGCAGAGATTCTTCAAGGCTTGGGAGAACGCTGTCTTGTATTGTGTTGCAATATTGCAGCGATAACACTTAATTTTGCAATTAATACGTTTCATTCTACTGCATTGCCGCTCCAACCTAATTGCCAACTTAATCTCAGAGCAATTTCAAAAACCATGGCACTCAAATAAAGTATTTGGAGACTCGGGATCTCTGGGTGCTTTTTAAGGGTGCATGGAGGGTAGGACAGGCAAATATTCAGATATATTCTGCTTGATTCACACTTTCTAGGCACAGGGGTAAGTGGTTCTCCCGTTGTCCTGCTCCTTTCTCAGGGAAAACCCACTCTTTAGTGATAAATTGGAACAAATGGCAATCCATAGGAAACCTGAATTGCCGTTTGCTCCGATTGAGCACTTAAGAGCAGTTTCCCCCCGAGGTAAGCAGCGGCGCAAGAGGAACTGTAGATAGGCACAAAGAGTGAGCAGGGGGAAAGGGGTGTTCAGAGGCTTTTCAGAGGGTGCTCCCCACTTTACGCAATTTCATTTATGGGGTGGGCAATATAACCCCATGTAAGTGAGGCAACACCTATATTCAAAGGTGTTGATATCCATGATTGCCTTTTAATAGCCTGTTACTTTGATATAAACCAGAAAGAGGTGCTTCCAAGCTTCTCCAGGTGACTTTCTTGAGCATCCATCCAGATTTTCTTGCATAAAGCTTGCACAGAGGTTAGATAGTGTGCAGTCTATATAGAGCAATCATTCTGATTTGTTTCGGGGTGGTATTTACATGACCATGGCTAATCATCTTGATTCGCTTGCATGGAAGTTTTGCACTTTCCCATTACAGTCGTACCTTGGATCCCGAATGCCTTGCAAGTCGAATGTTTTGGCTCCTGAACGCCGCAAACCCGGAAGTGAGTGTTCCAGTTTGCAAACATTCTTTGTAACCCGAACGTCCGATGTAGGTTCTGCGGCTTCCAATTGGCTGCAGGAAACTCCTGCAGCCAATCAGAAGCCGCG